CCAGTCTCCCCAGTTAAAAAAGATATACGATTAGCACATTGTGGTGGGAAGGGTGCGGGAGTCAGGAAAGTAGAGGACATTTAGCTTAATTAAACCACACCAAGGAGGCCAGAAAAACTCAGCAACACTTCTTCCACGATGCTACAGAATGATGCAAGCCACTGTACTCCTCATACCTAAACGTTCATTTTAACCAAATGTCTGCAAGCAGCCTAAGTGCTCAGAACCTTAAAGAGGCAGTAGACAGCATGTTAGCTGGCTCTAAGACTGCATTCCAGGGTGTACCAGGGACACTGAAATCCTAGGAAAACTATCTCCTTTGGCCAGTTACAAGGAAGGTGCATCAATCTCTGGGGTCTATGAAAATTAAAAGTATTCAAATAAAAAGGGATCTGACAATCTAGTAGAGGGTCAGAATGGCCAAAGGATTTTTACTGTCTGGAAGGTGGTTTTAGAATTTCTGACAGGGCATCAAATTTACTAAGGTATTCTTTCTTCATTTCAATTTAAATTCTTACCAAACAAAGAATGATCACAGGATTACTTCTATATTGAGAAACCTACCAAACCACTAGAACAGATTACAGGCAACTGATTGCATCAGAAAGATACTATTTTGAAACTCTGTAACCTAAAGAAGCTGGGGGAAAGGTGAGGCAGTTGGGCAGACTGAGCTGCAGATGGAATTGGAAACTCTGGTTTAAGAGTGGTCACTTTTCCAGAATTACCTCAATGAGCAGGGAGATTGGCTCTATACGTTAAAGAAATCTGACCCTACGGAACAATAAACCTGCTGAAACCATCCAGCTCAGTTCTCCCCAGACAACAAATACTCGTGACACTGAATCATCATCAGGAAACGCTTCAAGGTGCTATGTATGACACAGCAACCACAGTCTGTTTTCTGAGGGTCCCTTAAATTCCACATCTCATCTGCTGCCTCCTACCCCTCGGAGACTCCACAACCAAACTCTTCAATCTGTGAGCCAGAAGCCTTATCACCCATGTTCTTTGAAATCCAGTCCCATCATGGCCTTTGATCATGCTTGTATGAGGCAATCGTAGTAGCATCCCCTTTAAAGGAAAGATGTTTGACTCTTTTTTTCATATTTTGAATTACTGCCAGGTTATTAAAGACAAAATGATTGGGCAGGGAGGGGGAAAAAGCTGAGGGAAAAAGAAAATCAGAGAACTGGAGCCAAAAACTGAAAAACAAAAACAAAAAAATAGTTCCTTAAAATGAGTGGCCTGGTCTACCTTACACCCATTAGGATAGCTACTATTAAAAGTAAAAAAAAAAAAAAAAAAAAAAAAAATT